CTGGAGAGAGTTCTGGGGGTCAACGCCCCCACGGCCCGGTCTGTGACCAGGCCTTCTGGTGGATCAGAGCCTGATCAACCAGGCTGTTGCTGTGGCTGCACGCAAACCAACGTACGAGCCACAGCCCGGCTGATCAGGAACTGACTTTAGGTGCTTGTCCAGTGCCAGCTTGAAGACTGCCAGGGGTCTGTTGGTAATCCCCCTTATGTGTGCTGGGAGGCAGTTGAACAGTCTCGGGCCCTGACACTTATTGTATGGTCTCTTAACGTGCTAGTGACACCCTGCTTTTCATTGGGGGGATGGTGCATCGTCTGCCAAGTCTTTTGCTTTCGTAGTGAGTGATTTTCGTGTGCAAGTTCCGTACTAGTCCCTCTAGGATTTTCCAGGTGTATATAATCATGTATCGCTCCCTCCTGCATTCCAGGGAATACAGGTTTAGGAACCTCAAGCGCTCCAGTAATTGAGGTGTTTTATCTCCGTTATGCGCGCCGTGAAAGTTCTCTGTACATTTTCTAGGTCGGCAATTTCACCTGCCTTGAAAGGTGCTGTTAGTGTGCAGCAATATTCCAGCCTAGATAGAACAAGTGACCTGAAGAGTGTCATCATGGGCTTGGCCTCCCTAGTTTTGAAGGTTCTCATTATCCATCCTGTCATTTTTCTAGCAGATGCGATTGATACAATGTTATGGTCCTTGAAGGTGAGATCCTCCGACATGATCACTCCCAGGTCTTTGACGTTGGTTTCGCTCTATTTTGTGGCCAGAATTTGTTTTGTACTCTGATGAAGATTTAATTTCCTCATGTTTACCATATCTGAGTAATTGAATTTCTCATCGTTGAACTTCATATTGTTTTCTGCAGCCCACTGAAAGATTTGGTTGATGTCCGCCTGGAGCCTTGCAGTGTCTGCAATGGAAGACACTGTCATGCAGATTCGGGTGTCATCTGCAAAGGAAGATACGGTGCTGTGGCTGACATCCTTGTCTATGTCGGATATGAGGATGAGGAACAAGATGGAGCGAGTACTGTGCCTTGCGGAACAGAGCTTTTCACCGTAGCTGCCTCGGACTTTACTCTGTTGACGACTACTCTCTGTGTTCTGTTGTGAGAAATTATAGATCCATCGACCGACTTTTCCTGTTATTCCTTTAGCACGCATTTTGTGCGCTATTACGCCATGGTCACACTTGTCGAAGGCTTTTGCAAAGTCTGTATATATTACATCTCCATTCTTTTTGTCTTCTATTGCATTTAGGACAATGTCGTAGTGATCCAATAGTTGAGACAGACAGGAGCGACCTGTTCTAAACCCATGTTGCCCTGGGTTGTGTAACTGATGGGTTTCTAGATGGGTGGTGATCTTGCTTCTTAGGACCCTTTCAAAGATTTTTATGATATGGGATGTTAGTGCTATTGGTCTGTTGTTCTTTGCTGTTGCTTTACTGCCCCCTTTGTGGAGTGGGGCTATGTCTGTTGTTTTTAGTAACTGTGGGACGACCCCCGTGTCCATGCTCCCTCTCCATAGGATGGAAAAGGCTCGTGATAGGGGCTTCTTGCAGTTCTTGATGAACACAGAGTTCCATGAGTCTGGCCCTGGGGCAGAGTGCATGGGCATGTCATTTATCGCCTGTTCCAAGTCATTTGGCGTCAGGATAACATCGGATAGGCTTGTGTTAATCAAATTTTGTGGCTCTCTCATAAAAAATTCATTTTGATCTTCGACTCTCAGTCTGGTTAGCGGCTTGCTAAAAACTGAGTCATATTGGGACTTGAGTAGCTCACTCATTTCCTTGCTGTCATCTGTGTAGGACCCATCTTGTTTAAGTAGGGGCCCAATACTGGACGTTGTTCTCGATTTTGATTTGGCATAGGAGAAGAAATACTTTGGGTTTCTTTCGATTTCATTTATGGCTTTTAGTTCTTCCTGCGATTCCTGACTCCTAAGGGATTCTTTTAGCTTAAGTTCGATGCTTGCTATTTCTCTGACCAGTGTCTCCCTACGCATTTCAGATATATTGACCTCTTTTAGCCGCTCTGTTATTCTTTTCCGTCGCCTGTAAAGGGAGCGCCTGTCTCTTTCTATTTTACATCTACTCCTCCTTTTTCTTAGAGGAATAACCCTTGTGCATACATCGAGTGCCACCGAGTTAATCTGTTCTAGGCATAAGTTGGGGTCTGTGTTGCTTAGTATATCTTCCCAGCTTATATAGGTTAGGACTTGGTTTACTTGGTCCCACTTTATGTTATATACACCTGGAAAATCCTAGAGGGACTAGTACCGAACTTGCACACGAAAATCACTCACTACGAAAGCAAAAGACTTGGCAGACGATGCAACATCCCCCCAATGAAAAGCAGGGGTGTCACTAGCACGTTAAGAGACCATACAATAAGTGTCAGGGGCCCGAGACTGTTCAACTGCCTCCCAGCATACATAAGGGGGATTACCAACAGACCCCTGGCAGTCTTCAAGCTGGCACTGAACAAGCACCTAAAGTCGGTTCCTGACCAGCCGGGCTGTGGCTCGTACGTTGGTTTGCGTGCAGCCAGCAGCAACAGCCTGGTTGATCAGGCTCTGATCCACCAGGAGGCCTGGTCACAGACCGGGCCGCGGGGGCGTTGACCCCCGGAACTCTCTCCAGGTAAACTCCAGGTAGGTGGCCAAAGACTGCAAACCTCACTCTAGGAAAAAGATCTTGGGGTGAGTATAACACCGAGCACATCTCCTGCAGCGCACATCAATCAGATAACTGCTGCAGGGTACGGGCGTCTGGCAAACCTAAGGATAGCGTTCCGATACCTCAGTAAGGAATCGTTCAAGACTCTGTACACCATTTACGTCAGGCCCATACTGGAGTATGCAGCACCAGTCTGGAATCCACACCTGGTCAAGCACGTCAAGAAATTAGAGAAAGTACAAAGGTTTGCAACAAGACTAATCCCAGAGCTAAGGTGATTGTCCTACAAAGGAAGGTTAAGGGAAATCGGCCTGACGACACTGGAGGACAGGAGGGTCAGGGGAGACATGATAACGACATATAAAATACTGCGTGGAATAGACAAGGTGGACAAAGACAGGATGTTCCAGAGATGGGACACAGAAACAAGAGGTCGCAATTGGAAGTTGAAGACTCAGATGAATCAAAGGGATGTTAGGAAGTATTTCTTCAGTCATAGAGTTGTCAGGAAGTGGAATAGCCTAGAAAGTGACGTAGTGGAGGCGGGAACCATACATAGTTTTAAGACGAGGCTTGATAAAGCTCATGGAACAGAGAGAGGACCTAGTAGCAATCATTGAAGGGGAGGGGCCAGGAGCTATGAATCGACCCCTGCAACCACAAATAGGTGAGTACACACATACACACACACACACACACACACACACACACACACACACACACACACACACACAAATAGGTGAGTACGTGGTAATGCTTTATTTACTGCTAGCAAAGTCAGGGTATTTCTCCAGAATGGTCTGTATTATACCACTGTGGCACTACCACTACAGGCAGCACACTCCACCAATATTCAAAACACTCAACCTACTCACCATACGAAACATCCATACTTATTACTGCACCTATTACATACATAGAACACTTCACTCTGATAGTAACCCTCCCCTCAAACATCTCCTTGCCAACCTCAACAGAACACATGACCATAACACAAGGCACAGATCACTCTTTGATGTTCCTCGTCTCCATCTCACGCTATGCACAAACTCAATGCACATAAAAGGCCCTAAAATCTGGAATTCATTACCTGTAAATATAAAAGAAACACTACCTGTTTATAAAATCAAGTCTCTTCTCAAACAAAGATCACTTACTCACTCAAAACCAAATAAATACTGAATAACTGAACCTTATAAATTGTATATCCTATATGTTACTCACAATTATATCACACAAATGTTAAACCTAGGACCCAATCTAACTTTGTTATTTTTTTAAATACACTACCTAACAGAATACTCCATTCTACTGAATGTACAGCAATGCATGCAACCATATGACCTGTCTTTGTAATACTCATTTGTGCTTTATAGTTATCTGTTTAGAATAATGTTTTATCACTGATTTCATCATTGCTTAGTTAATCTTAAGTTAATTTTAAGCCAGCCCGTAATGCTGTGCATATAAGTGGCTTTGGCATGCTGCTCTTACCTGTATTTTTTGTACCTCTGTATGTATGTTCAAATTACAAAATAAATAAATAAATAAATAAATACTTTGCCATTTCTTCAACATTTCTGAGTGAGTTGTCTCTAAGTTCATTAATTTGATCGCACTCCAGTACATAATGACGCAGGGTGTGACAATTATCCACCTGGCAAAGTTTACATTTCGTTTGGTCTACATCTGGTGGTGGTGATTTAACCTGACTTAAATACTTGTAACCCAGCCGGAGCCGGGCGGTAGTGACATCCAAGAGTCTGCTTATTTTGTTGGATGCACCATAGATATGTGGCTCCTCCTGCATGATGGAATGATGATAGATGGATTGACTTGTGTCAATCTCCCTGAGTCTTAAGTCAATAGAGTTCAGTTGAAGTTCTTTTCGTATAATTGTTCTCAAACTGCTAACTGACAACCCATGATAGTAATCTACCCCCTCTGTCATTAAGACGATCTACAATACGAGGGTCATTACTAGGAATAAGGTAAAATTACACGGGTGTTTTCTAAAAAAAAAAAAAAAAAAATCATTCCCCTCCCTTTCTGTAGCTACATTCATCAGACACCTTTTGGCACTCTTCTTGAACTGGTTCATGCTAGAGTACATAGCTCTTCTGCCTGGTGGCCTTCTGCACCAGCCTTCATCGGGTGTGGAAGTCTCGCTCTGCTGGGTCTTGGCAAAGGGGTCCACTCGGTCTAATTAGGAACTAGTTTTTTTTTCTATTTCCGAAGAATCCCATTTCTTTTCTTTAATCTCCCAGTTTTGGTCAACGTAACTTCCCGGTACATCGGGAAATCGGGTTCATTACGGTGTAAGCTGTCACTGGCCCTGATAAACCCAACACAACAACATCCTGCCTGGTGTCTGCCAGCCAGGTATGGTGTAACATTTTCTCCCGTATTGCCCGCTGGTTCATTTCCCAGGTTTACATTTTTTTAGTGATGGGTGAACATGGACAGCAGGTGTCTTATGGAAACACGTCCCTAATGTTTTCCAGCCGTACCAGAGGAGATTCGAACTCCGGACCTCAGTGTCTGAGCTGAGTGCGCTAGCGATCAAGCTAATTTTTGTAACTGTATTTATGTATACCTAATAAACCTACTTAATTACTAGGGGTACTTAATTGGGGGTATCCATGCCCCTTAGCTGTATGGGAAACAGATAATGTGGGTGTAGGACTCGATCTCTGAACAATTTTAAAAAAAGTTGAATTAGAATAAACTGTCACCCGTTCTGTACCTAGCTATCTTTGTGTAAATTAAAACCAAGTTAATGACTTCTTTTGGAGTCATACTGGTACCTAATACAACTGGTGATGATAATTTCAACAGTCTGGCGAAGGGAGTATACCTGGAGAGGGTTTCGGGGGTCAACGCCCCACGGCCTGGTCTGTGACCAGGCCTCATGGTGGATCACGGCCTTCTCAACCAGGCTGTTACTGCTGGCTGCACTCAAACTGGCATACGAAACACAACCCAGATGGTCAAGGTACTGACTTTAAGTGCCTGTCCAGTGCCTTCTTGAAGACAGTCAGGGGGGCATTGACAATTCACCAGGGGTCTGTAGTCATAAAAAGGTTACATACCCGTGCTCTAGTCCATTATATTTTGTTTTAAAATTCTACTTAGAAACCAAAATTTTACTCAATATTTTTGTCTAGTTTAGCAGTGTCATTGACTTTATCTTGCTTCTGAAAGTCTGTGTAAGAGGCACAAGAGCTTCACTCTAGCCCCACCAACTACCACCCTTCCATATATGATATGGAAGGGTGGTAGTTGGTGGAAGGAAAACATTACATTTTCTCTAGTCCAACATTAGAGAAAATGTGTATGAATCTGCGCTGGCCCAGTCACTGCCCTTAATACATAACGCTTTTGTTTACAATTCTTGGCATGAATTATTCATTACTTCTCCCTTTGTTTATGATGGCATCTAAAGGTAGTTGTTAGAAATGATTAAACTCAGTAAACATGGTATGCCGATGGTAATAATATGGCTCTGGGTCGCTGTGTAGGTAGCCGGTAGGTGTAGCCCAGGCTACCTACCGGCTACCTGCACTGACTTCCTACAAATAAATGCTACTTGCCTCTCACCCTACATTAAGACTACAAGTATTTTAAGGTAAGTAATGAATGTACTGTGTATGTATTTTACTTTTTATTGTATTTTTTAATGCCTAGTTCTATTACTAACTTAATATAAGTTAGTGTAAACTTGACAACCCTGCGCCTGTTGTGGAATCTATTGTGGCTTTGGGGAAGTCCATGGGGTTGGATGTGAGTGGCCAGGATGTGGAAGAGTTGGTGGACAACCTCAGGGAAGAGCTAATCACTGAAGAGCTGCAACTCTATAGTTATTCTCTATGAAATTTATTTTTTGTCAATATTTTTGGGTGTCTGGAACAGATTAATTGGATTTACATTTTTTTCTCATGGGAAATATTACTTCGGTTTTCGTCCATTTCGGATTTCTACTGACCTTCTGGAATGGATTAAGGATGAAAACTGGGGTTGCACTGTACTGAACATCAGAGCAATAAAAATTGTGAGTACATATTTTAAAAAATAATAAATTATCCTCCCTTATTTGTAGTTTCATTCATTAGATATGCATATACTCATACCTAAATTGTTTTATTCTAAGATTGGCCTTGACTTAATCATATAACCCATTCCATCTCTTTATCACTGTGAGTTATTAGGCTTGAGGCCTGGCTACCTTCTTTGGGTACTATAGATCTATACTCACCTAGTATCATATTGGTAAACTCTCCAGGTAAACTCTCCAGGTAAACTCCAGGTAGTGAGTCCTAACCTTTACAGAATTTGCATCAAGATATTCTGAATACTAGTTGGCAGTTTTGTCTAGACTACTTGATTGAATTTCAGTTCCTTTATTCTTTCTGCCACTTGAAGCCTTTCCAGTTTTTGTAATTATTCTTTCACTACATTTTCTCTTGGTCTAGGATGAATCTCACAATCTTAGTTTGTGCAAAATTGTAGTCAGGTTTTACGTTTTTTGTTAGAGCAACACTATGAAGAACTAGAATAGTCTACATGACATTGTATTTGAACCCAACGTACAGTCTTGCATGCCTGAGCAGGTAGGCACTGCTCAGGCATGCTATTTTCATCTCATCTGATATTCGTGGATCAAAGGATGTTCGTAGATATTTCACTAAAGTTACTGTAGAGATAACTGTTTTTCATAAGTGAAGCAACAGTTTATCTATCATATAACCATACAGTGATAGTTCTTTTACTACATCTTGTTGGTATGCATACATTAGGAGTTTGCACTTAACACATGCCTGCTGGGCATGTTATTGGTTGGGGTACCATATATTACTTCTGTATTTTCTTTTTGTAGAAACTTGTGCATGTAGCTGAGGGAGAGGGATGGGGTGTAACCAGTCACTGACTTGGGCAGGGTGTGGGAATCCTTCTCATCTGAGACTTTGGTGAAGGGGGCTCTTGAACCTAATTGAGAATGCTTGTTCCTTTCATGTTTTGGGATGTTTGTCTCATTTTACCCTTTCTGCTCAAATTTTAAATTTTTTCTTACCCAATGGTTGAGCTTTAAATGTCAGTGGCCTCTAAAACCCCAACAACACCAAAAGACTGGTTCTTACTCAAGGTAGTTACAGTAGGGCCCCACTTATATGGCAGGTTAGGTTGCAGGCTACTGCCAGAAAGCAGAATGCCATTTTTTCCACTTATAAATTCATATAAATGCCAGATAACAAGTTTACACTAACATATATTAAGTTAGCAATAGAACTAGGCATTAAAAAACAATAAAAAGTAAAATAAATGCAGTACACTCATTATTTAACTCAAAATATTTGTAGTCTTAATGTAGGGCAAAAGTGAGTAGTATTTTCTGTAAGAAGTAGGTGTGGTAGCCCTCCAGGCCACCCCACCCACACATAATATACTATGACACTGAAAGCACCCTAGAGTGATAAAATGCATATACAATACATTCACTACTTACCTTAAAATGTTTATAGTCTTAATGGTCTTAATGTAGGATGAGAAGTGAAGAGTATTTATTTGTAGAAAGTCAGGTGTGGGGGGTAGGGTAGGGTAGCCCACCTGGCCACCCCACCCACTATTTAAACAAACAGACGAAGCATCTGGTTATGGTTTTTACACGTTCATACAAACACCTTACATTGTGTACAAGTTGTCTCCACAATGGTACAGTAGAATAAATAAAGACCAACATTTCCATTCTCACGTAGCATCATTTTTAGAAGGAATGATGCTCTGACAAGTTAATACAGAATAAATAAACAGCAACACTCACATTCTCATGCAACACACCAGTTTTAGAGAGACTGATATTATTATTATTATTATTATTATTATTATTATTATTATTATTATTATTATAATGACACGATTGCAAACAAACCACACCCCCGGCCGGGATTGAACCCGCGGTCATAGAGTCTCAAAACTCCAGCCCGTCGTGTTAGCCACTAGACCAGCTAGCCACAATAAGATTCATCCAACTAGGTATATTTCTACAACATAGGAAGGTTAGCACAGGCACCACTGTGACCACAAATGCAACTTTTTACAGACGAATCTCCAGCTAGCGTGGCCGTGACGAACTCTAGCTTAAGTCCCTTCACTGCCGTCAACATGACTCAAGAAATCGTAATGACATGATTGCAAACAAACCATACCCCCGGCCGGTGTATGGTTTGTCTGTAAAATTCGTCTGTAAAAACTTGCATTTGTGGTCACAGTGGTGCCTGTGCTAACCTTCCTATGGTGTAGAAATATACCTAGTTGGATGAATCTTATTGTGGCTAGCTGGTCTAGTGGCTAACGCGACGGGCTGGAGTTTTGAGACTCTATGACCGCGGGTTCAATCCCGGCTGGGGGTATGGTTTGTTTGCAATCGTGTCATTACGATTTCTTGAGTCATGTTGACGGCAGTGAAGGGACTTGAGCTAGAGTTCGTCACGGCCACGCTAGCTGGAGATTCGTCTGTAAAAACTTGCATTTGTGGTCACAGTGGTGCCTGTGCTAACCTTCCTATGGTGTAGAAATATACCTAGTTGGATGAATCTTATTGTGGCTAGCTGGTCTAGTGGCTAACGCGACGGGCTGGAGTTTTGAGACTATGACCGCGGTTTCAACCCCGGCCGGGGGTTATGGTTTGTTTGCAATCGTGTCATTACGATTTTTTGAGTCATGTTGACGGCAGTGAAGGGACTTGAGCTAGAGTTCGTCACGGCCACGCTAGCTGGAGATTCGTCTGTAAAAAACTTGCATTTGTGGTCACAGTGGTGCCTGTGCTAACCTTCCTATGGTGTAGAAATATACCTAGTTGGATGAATCTTATTGTGGCTAGCTGGTCTAGTGGCTAACGCGACGGGCTGGAGTTTTGAGACTCTATGACCGCGGGTTCAATCCGGCCGGGGGTATGGTTTGTTTGCAATCGTGTCATTACGATTTCTTGAGTCATGAAAGAAATATTTTTCTACAGTTAAGAAACCGGTGTTTGACTAGAGAAAACGTAATTCTTTCGACATTCCTACAAGCTGTTTGATAAACAAATCTCATATTTATGTCAATTTTTATACTGTGGATGTATGTATCGTGTTTATATGTTAGGTATCGTGTTTATTACATAATTTTGAAAAAAATATCATAGATGGATTAATGGAAATGCCTATCTGTATTAATGTAATATATGTACATCATATAATGCGCCCAAGAGATTATTATATGGCGTCGAGTAGAGAGACTCTTAGTGATCTTAATGTGTACCTGCACGCCAGCACAGTGTGTAAGTATGTATATTTAGGTACAGGTACACATAAGTACAGTGGTCCCTCATTAATCGTCCGGCCTGA